TATGATGGGGAGTCTTTTTTGATACCATTGAAGTAAAATACTGGTTGATTCGGAATACTAAAGGTAACCATTTTCTTGTAACAATCAATACTTATATGGTATGCAGAAAGCCAATCCATGCCTAAGTTTACATCAAAATCTTGAATTTTTAGGAGTATTAAATCAACCAACAGTTCCTTTTCTTCTATCTTTATTACACAGGATTTGTACACTATATTGGTGTCGCTTGAATTTCCCATCGGTGTGGTTCTAGAATGTATTCTAATTGTTTTGGTTCTACCTTTAAGTGGCATGCAAAGTGTGGTGACACAAATGAATGAGTAGATCCAGGATCAATCAAAACATGAGCTACGTTTTGGAAGATAATAAGAATACCTCGGATCACTGATTTTGAGGCCTGAGCGTCTTGCTGGGTGATCGCAAATACTCTTCCCTTCATCTGAGGCTTTTGAGCTATCTCTCCTTTTTTTGGAAGCTGTTGCATCTGTAAGCTAGGACATTCTTTAATCCGGTGCCCCAATTTTCCACATTTAAAATAGGCTCCAGTATTCCAATAACAAGGGCTCAATTTATGCTGTTTCCCACATTTTTTATATGGTTCTATTGGGCTTTGAAGTGGCAAGGGCCTTGGCTTCTTGTTTGCCCTTTCAAACTGTTGTCGATTAGATGGTGTGGGTCTAACCTGACTTTTTTGATTTTTTATCTTTTGGTAATCTTCAAAATTTTTTTCGCCAATTTGGGCTCGATCCACTATTTCAGCATAAGTTCTCAATTTTAAGATTGATATTCTGCTTCTAATAGCTGGTCTGAGACCCCTTTCAAATTTTTTCACCTTTCTTGCCTTATTGTTAATCATATGTGGTGCAAACCTGGCCAATTCAGTAAATTTGGCCTCGTACTGTGCTACTGTCCGGTTTCCTTGGATTAATTCCCAAAATTCCATTTCTTTTTTGTCTCGAATAAAATCTAGGAAATACTTTTCATTAAATGCCTTTAGAAATACTTCCCAAGTCAAGGTTTTTTTTTTTTGACCAATAGTCTTTTTGTCATTCGCCACCAATGTTGTGCTTCACCTTCTAACATAAAAACTACCAAGGCCACCTTCTTATCATCAGGACATTCCATTACCTCGAATATCTTCTCCAATTGCATAATCCATCCCTTGGCTTCCAGTGGGTTTACAGCACCCTTAAAAGAAGGTGGGTTCAATTTTTTAAATTGTTCGATATTACTCCCACAATTTCTCGTAACTGACTGCCTGGGTGAATTGTTGTTTTCTATCTGATGTTGCATTAGAGCAACCATATTTTCCAAGGCTTTGTGAATTCCTTCCATATTAGCTTCAGCTATTCTGGATCTTGACTTCGTCCCGGTCTGTACACGCAATAAATGTGATTTTAAGTACATTCTTTTTAAATTTCTTAAGAATCTTAAACTTATTGCTCTGATACCATAATTGTCAAGCCCGAAGAATTTACAATACTGATATTCCTGAGATGTGACAGTCAAAATATATATACATCTCTTTTTAGGACAAATTTACAATGGCGAATTCTTACAGAGTAACAAAAGAAAGTTTAAGCACAACTACAATATCTTCCAAAGTTGATCCTGACGAGCACTCAAAAGGAAACCGCAGTTATCCTGAAAAATGTTTACCATAGTTTGATGAGTTTGGCTACTCAGTAAATGATCATCATAGTCCTAAAAATAATCATGATTGAAAGATATCAATATTTTCAAAAAGGAGATCTATTAACAGATTCACTTTCAAAAATGCATAATTAAGTGTAATCCGAATAATTGAAATGCATATAACATTTTAACGGCTGTGCATAATTCAAAGGATTTCACAAATTACCTTTCTGGCGTCCCAAGTAGGTCACTTATATACCCCATCAGCGTCCTGATGGGTCCACTTAATCCCTATCGGCATCCTAGATAGGTCCACTTAATCCTTGCAGGTCCACTTATACCTCATCGGCGTATCGGATGAGTCTACTTAATCTCTACCGGCGTACCGGATAGGTCCACTTATACCTCACCGGTGAACAGGATGAGTCCACTTGCATACTTAAAGTATTTCTAAATCTCTTTAAACATTCGAAAGCATCAATATCATGTACTCAACATATCACTGAAATTATTAATATGAATTTCACTGAAACCATTAATAATAGTTACTTTCAATAACATTTCAAAAATACCCAGTCAAATATTTTGGGCTCAAATTCAGAAAGGTAGCAGTTCGTAAAGACATTTTAGCATAATTGCCAATCTAATATGTATAGAAAAAATCTTATAGAAATTCAAGAATGCGGAATTATCACATTTTATGGGATGTCAATTTGCAAATAAACATTTCACAGACAATGCTATAATCACATGCAAAAATATCAGTTTTCAAATAATAACGGTCATTTGCACATGAATTTTACAATGTTTAATATTCAAAAACAGTAGAAAGAAATCTCACAATTTTACTAAAAGCAGAAATATCGCATTTATTTTTAATAATTTTACTGTATCTAAAATTCTCTAACAATAAACAAGAAAATAAATTTATTTCTAAGAATTTACAACATTTAAAATTTCTAACATAGATAAAATATCACACTTTCATTAAAAGATTATTTTTCAAAATAATGAGGTCGCTTTTGCATAAAATTTATCGTGCCTAAAATTCATGATAATAAGCAGAAGTAATTATTTCATTTTATTTTTAAAAAGAACGGATTATTTTTCAAGATCATGAAGTCACTTACTTAAAATACTTGAGAGGGAGCTTCCGATAAAAATTTGGCTAGAGAGAGGAGCTTACTGCGTTTCGACTAGAGAGAGAAAGATCTCAGTGTGTTGGGAGAACTTATACAAAAGTTCTCTAGGGTGGGAGTCCTCACCTCTCCTATTTAAATTCTTAAGACACACTATTATATTATTTATTAAGCTCCACCTCATACATGAGGTGTGACGATATTATTAAACGTGAAACATTTAAGCACCACGTCAACTAAAAGACGTGGTAATGAAGGGAAAAAGTCAACAAAAGTGGTGATGGTCCCTAAGGACCATAATACTTATATGGACCATCACACTATAAAGAAATATTTATTCATTTATTTTTTTTTTTTTGAAAGGTTAGGATTGTTACAATTAGGTAGATGTTTGATTGATCCTATATTTTTTGGAAAGTTAAATGTCAAAGCAAAACATCAGGAAGGTGTAAATTTCTTTATGAGGACTTCATTGGAAGCTAGTCTCATTAGTTTTACTTGCAACCAACAATGGATTTCCTGGGATTGATAGGAATGAATGGTGAGGTAGCTGCAGAAATAGGGGTTTGGGAACTGGAGCCTAATGGTGTGACATAGCAAGGGGTGTAATGGTAGAAGCTGAGGACACTGAAAAGGACTGGGACAAGGTGAGGGTCTGGTGTTTACGAAAATGTAAGAGAGCTTTTCTAAAAAGGAACCCACATAGTTAGGAAATCCACCCTTTACAACCCTTTCTAATGTTAACCTTTGTATTTTCAATGGTCGTGAATTGTAGATAATCATACACACACAACACATATTACATCTTCACATAGCTTCTGTTTCACATGTTTAAAAATGTCTTGAGTCTCGTGTAAGTTTTCTTAGTTGATTTGTTTATATGATGTTGTGTATGCAAATCACTTGCATGCATTTTACATGCTTAATGATGCCACAGTTGACACCTACTTGTAGTATTTATTATCATGAAATCCTGAGTATGTGGCCTGATATATTAGCTTACAATGGGTACTTTAGGAGAGAAACATGTGTGCTGGGGTGTGTTCTAATATGAAACTAACAAATTACAGAATGAATTAAGTAAAACAAACATAATGCTTGTTATGTATGTACTTGTCCCTCATATTATTCATCTTAGGGAAAATTTGCCCATAGTCTGTATGAAAGAATATATAGAACGTCCTTGTTGAGTCGGGATGATGTGAGCAAGCTTAAGGAACAGGAGGGTCTTGGATCTGGTAAATTATACATGTTTATATCAGTCCTACTAGCGTCTATATCATTCACACTCTTCAGTGACCTCCTCATAGGTTTAGTGGAGTTTGTTCCAGAAAATTCCAGCTTGTATTGTATGTCATGAATATTTTCATTCCAGGTGAGGTCTGTATGTGAATCAAATTTTTTAGGAGCATTGAAGATCCTGAAATTGATCAAACGAAAAGTTACACGAAAACAAAATGGATGCGGCATGTTATTGCAGTGGGGTTCTGGAACTTTGTTGAATGGCTCTGACAAAAAGAAAAACAGCTTCCTATGTATTGAAGGTGGTTGTGGTTGTCTCTATTGAAGAGCTTGAATTTCTTACTTATCCAATTTTTTGCATATAAACACCTAAATAATGATTTCCCTTTGTGAAACTTATTCTTTAATGGGTGTGGTTTGTATAAGGTTTCAACCTCAAACAATAGAATTAAGGCACACCTCCAAAGCTCATCGAAAAATGTAATTTTGGTGTCAGAAATTTCAATGATGACCTAAAAAACTAATTCACATCTAATTATGAAATTTAAAACTCAAAAAATGGAACTAATCGAGCAAATATATAAACACATGAATATCTTGAGAATGGACGGTCTAGATAATGTATTACAAGATGTGCCATTTTTGGTGCTTTAAAATCTTTATTTATTTATTTTTTCACATCCGTATATCTCGAGGTTGAGATGATCAATTATTGAGTTTTCACCATGAAGACAACTTTTTTTGATAGACTTTGAGGTATGCCTTTTTTCTACAGTTTAAGATTGCAACCTTGTATAAACTTTTTCCTTCTTTAATTGTTTCTGGCCTCTTTTTGTAAAATGAAAATTGCCTGGATCATAATTCTTCTTGTGATTCACCTATTGCCTCTAAACGTTTAAATTGGTTCATTAGTTTTTTCTTGAACACTTATTTTGTCTAAATGATATTGGAACTTCTTTTTGTTATTCTTTTGTCATTCTATAGGCTGGTTCAATTGAAGGACAAGTGGTTGACATGGGATTGACAAGTACATCATTATTGACTGCCGAGAAATATCCTCTCACAGTGCCAAATTCATTGTTCTCTAGTCAGGTATGGGTTAGTTATATTTGATCCAATCCTTATAAAGTCCCTTTGTTGCGCATTGGTGCTCACTGGTGTCAATTAATTTGAGCAGTTACAAGTGTTTAACACAGCTCGAGTTTTGGATCGGCCCTCCATTGAACCGATTCGGATTGACAATTTTTTATCCTAATCGGTCAATCCTCAAGGTCAAGAAAATATTAAATTATAGAAAAAAGAAAGCAAATCATGAAAAACTAAAATTTAAGGGAGCCACCCAGTTCGCTTGATTCAAGTCGGCAATTCCCAATATGAATGGCCCAGTTCTTTAATAGAACTAAAATTGGGCCGTTTCACGATTTTGTAAGGGAATCATCACGTAATGATTCAGATATAAATTAGTGATTGTCGATCTAGATTGGCAATTTTTAAAGCACTGGTTTCAGCTGGAAGTTTTGTGGGTTTTGAAAGTGAGTAATGATCTAATATTTACATGTGCTTTGTAACAATGTTCTAGTATTAAATCCTATCCTTAGCATCATTGCAGAAACAAAGACTACAATCTTGGAGAACAATTTCTATTCCCTAGAGGCATTTAATTGTGATTTATGGCTTATAGATTTAAATAAAACTGTTGTCGTTGAGGAAGATGATATGTGGTGGTCATATAGATTGAAGGACATTAGGAGGTGAAAATCAATATGATATGGTGTTTTTTAATGCATATTTTTACAAGATAATGCCTAAGTTCTTTCTATCGTGATTGATTGGTTGATTGGTGTTATTGAAACTAAAATATTACTTGACTGTGTGATTTTCACAAGATTTTTCGTACATGTTGCATGAGAAAACAAGATGCTTTGGATTTCTTGAATTCGAAAGAATTCTACTGTGAAGACTTTGGTTGTAATACTCCACGTGACTATGGTTTTGAGTTAATGTAAAAAGGTTTGTGGAATCTGTTGATCATATTTGTATTTTGTCAAAAACTGAAGGGCTTTATAGTTGTCATTTCATTTGTTACCCACATTGTATGTGTATTTTATAGGTGCATGCTTGCAGTTTTTCGTGCATTCTTGTTTGTGCGTGTATGTTTGAGTAGGACTGACAACGGGCCATGCTTGCGCTGGGCTCGTCTTGGCGTGTCTCAGACTGCCCTAAAGGGGTCCAAGCCCATCTGAACTGGCTGGGCCTAATAAACTCAGAAAAAAGAGGGAGAGAAAGTTGCCTATCATCGCCCTAGCTCAGCCTTGCACCTCGATCCACATTTCGTGGCCCACCAGGCCTAGTTTTAAGGGCTAGGGTTGCCCGGGCCGGGCCTTCCGGCCCATTGCTAGCCCTATGTGTGAGTGGGTGTGCATTCATGTGTGTGTGTTTATTGTGATACTTTTCTACATTCATGTCAAGGAAATATGCACTGTCAAGTTAGGGAAAACATTAGCATGGATACTCCAAAAGGATCATCATTTCCTTTTGGAGTATCCAACTTCATTATGTTAATGTTTAAGACAATGTTTACCTAGCCTACCCCATCATTGTCAGCATATTTTGTGGGGCTCTACTCTCTTTCTTTTTAATTCAATGTGTCTTGGCTGTTCATTCAGTTGGTTTGTCTTCTATGTGTTGTGACCTTCTTATGGTGAGACCTAGAGGTGTGGCCATTGTTCTCTATTAGTTGGATTAGTAATTTTTCTTCTTCCAAATGACCATGTCCTGATCATTATTGGAAGTCTCTTTTATATTGTCTCTTTTTTTTTTTTTGAAGGATTTATAGTCTCTCTTTTTGCAACCTTAAAAACATAAATATTTCTAGTTTCCAATTTTATGCATCTGGAATCATTTGTTGAGAAATTCACATTGTGGTAGAAAAGAATGATCTATTGTAAAGAAATTTCTTTATTCCTTTCTTCTTTAAGATGCAGAAGCATTGGGCAATACTGTTAAAATATCACCTTGAATACTTGAGAGAAAAGAACAAGATGTGGTACAAGAGAAATGTGCCCTGAATTCCTTCATGAGTGAGGGGCTGCATTCAATT